AAAAAAAAAAAAAAAAAAGTCCCTATAGAATTGGGCCAGTGAAGACATTCAGGAAGAGGTCTAGAGAATATTTTTATGGCTGATCAATATCTGTAATCCATCTAGGAGTCTTTTAACTTCCTTACGTCTAAACTTTTTCTTAAGGAGCACCAGGACATTCAGCCTTGTTGGACTGCCAACGGAAAAGCTTTGATGTGAAAACATACTAGATGTTAAGTAGTTGGGTTACACAAGCACTACAAGTACATGTGATCAGGTTTTTATAGAGCTAGTATTTTTCTGAGTGAAGCAAGCAAGAACCTAGCAACCTATTCACAAGACCATACTTGGTAACAAGTCTTTTATTTAAATGTTATAAACGTACTAGCTTATTATTAATACCAAATAAACTAATAAGTAAGTAACTGCCTATCTAATAAAGACAAAACAAACCACCAAGGTAACCCACTAATTCCTAGATGTCTGCCTTTAGGCCCATGGGGCAGGAATGGGTAGACGTAATCCCACAGAAAAGGTTGGTAATGAGAGAAGACGTATCCCAATGTCCTCATAAGAAGCCTCCTAAACACTCAGAATACGTGTCCAGGACCAGGGTGGTGGCTGAGCCCTGCAGCCACTCTGCTTCTCATTAAAGTTCTTCTTACAACACAGCTCTAACTCATGGCTCCTTGGCTCCTCTTAAACTGAGTTCTTTCTATTAAAAAATGTCAAAGTAGGTGGTAATCGGGGTGAGTGAGGGAGCAGGAAAAAGCAAAAAGACAAAGATTAAGTCTAAAGTACAGAAGGTGGGAGCTTTATCGGTGTTTGTTTATAGATACGCAATGTATTTTTCATGTCCATTGAAACTTGCTTACCTGCTGCTAAAGTCTTGCCTGCTCCAGGAGCGCTGGTCACACAACCCACTGAATTGCAGACAGAAATGGTAAAGTTGTATATTCTGTAAGGTTTCAGTCCTTTTACAACATAAGACAGTTCTTGGGATTGAGCAGTGTATAGTACCTTCAAGGCAAAAGAAAACAAAATCAGGTAATACATAATAAGTATAAAAAATAGACCTTGGCAGTCAAAGCTCCATGAATTTGGACAGTGGGAATTATTGCCAACTACTGTTAGGAAAAGGAATTTTTTTTTTTTCACCCTGAGACTCTCAACAAGCCAGGATTTAATTGATAATTGTACAATCACACTGTTTTATGAGGTAATAATCCAGTTCCTGAGTGGATAAATGAGGAAACCAAGTTATTGCCTCATAAAGCAGCGTGGTGGTATGGTTATTGTCACCAATGGTAGAGATAAAAGATGGTGCCATTGTCATTGTTATCGTGAAAAATCCAAACAAGACCATGGGGCTTGGCCAAAAGGAAGCCAGGGCTGTAATGCCCACATGCCAGTTGATGGAGCTAGTACAGAAAGATGTCTCCATGGTAAACAGATCCTATCCGTTTCTTTAAAAAAAAAGCTACAGAAGAATAAAAAAAAGAGAGAAAGAAAGAAACGTATTACTGAGCATCCATATGAGGTCAATTCTTAATTATCTTTCTTATAAAATAAGCATACACAAATTAGATCAAACGGTTGCTTTTTTTTTAAATATTGTCTTTATTACACAACATCAAGTGACAACAGCAGATTTGAGCAAAGGAGAATGAGAGGAACTCCGTAGTTCATAAACAAGCAATCAAGAAAGCAACACTGGGAGGTGGTCCCGTCATCATAACTAGCATTGATCAAAAGCAACCATATACAGCTGCTTCGGCTGCGGATGCAAAGGCCACTGCAGGAACTCAGAAAAAGGAAAAAAAAAAAAAAAAGTGCCATGAAAATGGAGTGCGTGTACAAAAACTATATTTTTTCGGAATACTTATACACATTTATGTCAAATAATCTTCCATAAATATAAATACAGGTAACTGTAAAGGTTACTAACATTTAGAGTAATTTTCTTGATAGCTTCCCTTTAGGAGTACAATAAAATTCTTCTGGAATGTTTGCCTGGGTATTGACTTTAAAATTTCATAACCTACGTGAGTAGATCTAGGAAGCAGTGTGATTGGAATATAGAATATATTGTTTGCATAATGTTTTTCCAAAATAAAAGTGGTTTCAAACATTCCAAAAATCTAGAAATAATTTAAGACTTTTGTATCATTTGCTTACAATTACATTTAGAACTCAGACAAACATCAAAGACTTAATTATTAATTCTGTATCTCTCTAATTCTAAAATGAGTATTGAACTATTGAGGATGCAAATGTTTTTCTTCTGTGCAAGATGATTTTAAAATTTCTAAGAAAAATAAAGCCTTGAAATGAGTTAAGTTTACTGAGTAGTGCTATAAAGTTTATCCCACGTAGAATAAGCCTGATAGTACTTATATAAATTTTTAGAAACTGAAATTGATTTAAGGGTAAAATATTTGTTTTAGGGAGTTGAATCATTTTTAAAACAAGTTATACTTTATAACCAGAACACACAATGAAATATAATTAGAAATAGAAAATGCAGACTATTACTAATTTTGATGGATTTTTGCTTCTCTACATATGGTTATTATGTTACATGATTTTAAAAAGTCATAATTTGCCCCAGAGCTATTGGCATATAAAATTATCACTTGGATAAACTTTTCTTTATCATGTATATACAGTCAATTTACATGTCTTAAAGGATTTATCCAACTTAAAGTTTTCCATGGGATAAATCTTTAAAGGGGTGGGAAGAACTCCAGAGAAGCTTGAAATCCTGCAATGGTATTATCACCACTTCTATACAGTTCCTCTGCCACATTCTTCAGCAAAGAGTCCTTAAGAGTTATTTTTGCAGTAGGCATTATCCAGAAATTCTGGCTATTTATTTACAAAGACTGTAACAAGATGTACTCAGTTCAGTCCAGAAACAAATTTAATTATTGAGAAAGTGAGAATTTTTACCTTTTTCTGCCACCTTTGATTTAGCTTCTTTGAATATATGATTAGGTGTGTAGATATTTGTGGGGTGGGGGGGAGTGTGAGCAAGAGCCAGCAAGCCAGAGAGAAAGGATAAAGTGCTATGTCTACATCTTCCAATTCAGCCACAACGAAAGGGCTTCTAAACAAACATTATTTCCCTGCCCCATTAAATGATAGTTACTTTTTAAAGTGCAATGTCATCCAGTCCCAAAAATAGTAATAGCTAATAATGAAATGCTAACAAATATTTATTAGCTCTTTCAGCTCCACACCAACCATATAGGTAAGTAGAAATGGTTTTCCCATTTTACAGATGAGGAAAGTCTGAGGCACAGAGATGTGTGATATGGCGAGT